CCCAATTAATATTTATTGCAATCAGTAGGCTTAAAAGAGAGTCTCTTTCGTTTGTGCCATGTTGCCAAAGACCGCGATTTCTCAACGAATGGGTCTGAAAGCTAAGCAAACTATATCCATTGACACTCTTGAGAAAGTGTTGAAAGCTTGTAACTTCACATCTGCACCAGTGAAATCCGCAGTGATTACCGGAGCTTTGATAGTCGATTAGGTCTTGTAGCTGAGGCTTAGGAAGCGTTCAGGGTCAGTCAGACGTCTTAATCTTATGGACTCACCGTCAATTCCAGCTTATTGTATAAGTCCTCTGGCAACAATGTCAGCGTAGTCCATGAATCAACGATAATATTGCCCTTTGCTGGAGCCAATGAAGGGTTCAGTGAACTGTTATATTGCAATCTCTTACGCCCAACGCTCATTGCTTCAAGCCTTAGATACTTGATCACTCATATATTTCATGCATTTATATCATCTATTTCTAAAGTCTTTGTGATATTTTTGTGTTAAAATTGTGACATTTTACCTTACCTTGTGTTATTGTGCAGTTAAATGTGTTTTATGATCAATTTCAATTAAAAGGAAGAAAAGTGGAAACACTGACAAAGAGGAGTGGGAGACTGGCGGAAAGAAAAGAAAATAAATAAAATAGGCAGAAGGGAGAGAGCACTGAGGCAGTGCGGAAGGAATAAAAGAAGAAAAAGGTACATGGGCTGGCGGAAAAGAAAGAATTAAAAGGAAGAAAGGGGAAAGACGCTGGCAGACAGAGAGGATGGCACAAGGACATATAGAATAATGAAGGAGAGAGTGAGCAGACAGCGGGAAAGGAGAGAGCACAGCAGAAAAGAAAAGGGAAAAGAATTAAAAAATGAAAGAAAGCAAGTGAGAGGGGAGCGGACGAAGTGGAAAAACGGAAAATAAAGAGAAGAAAGGAGAAGCACAGAAGGGAGGGCGCACGGGGGAGCAGAAATAGAGAGAGACGGACAGCAAGCAGGAAAGAATAAGCGCAGGACTGCGCAGAAACAGAAAAAGAAAAACAAAACAAAAAAGAATAGGTGGGAGTGCGCAAACAGAGGGCAGAGGAGAGAAGGAGCAAACGTGACTGGCAGGGAGACTGAAGGAAGCAGAAACCAAAGGGAGGGAGACTGACGCAGTCACGCAGCACAGGGAAAAGGGAGAGGCTCAGGACGCGGCAGAGCACAGAAGCAGAGGGCGCAGAGCAGAGGAACAAAAACGGGTGTTTTCTTTCTTGTTATTTTTTTGGATAATTTTTTATGCATGAACATAATTATGTGTAACTAATTTATTATGCTAGAGTGAGGCCATGAGCTGCAACATGAATACGTAGTTTTATTTTTCAATTGCTTAAGTGTTGTTACATGTTTGCTTTGATATTTTCAATCACTGAATTAAACTATCTATGTACCTTGATGCTTGAACACCATTAGGATGCTTAGAAAAGTTATCGGATGCAATTTTGAACGAATGTCACGTTAAATTGGTTGTGCTTCTTGTGATTGAGAATTATACTCTCCTAAGGTAAATATCATGCTCTTAGGGATTATATGGTTTAACAAAAGGATTTTCACCAAGATTAATGAATCACTCATGTTTATATTTAATCCAAATGTCATGGATAAGTTGCATGTAGTGGTATGCGTTTTAGCTTGAATGTCACAAGTAAAATATACACAAGGAAAATCCAACCTTCAAAGCATGTGTGTTTTCAATTATTTAAGCAATTGGAATAGCTACGTACGAGTGTTGTTGGTAAAGGTTGAACTCTAGCATATTGTCAATCTATTTTTCTTAAATCATTTATTTTATCTTGAATTTCCTTATTTACTTGTTTTGTTTAAGTTGAATCATTATTCCCTAAAACCAATTCCCATTTTAGATATTTGTTTAAGTCACATCCAGTAATATTTAGTTTTGTCAAATTAGTGTAATTCTTAGAATTAAATAAGTTAAATACACAAGAACTCGTAAATTGTTTATATCAGTCCCTGAGGAGATCGACCTTGCTTGAGCCATTCTATACTACAAACACTTGTTCTCTTGCAAGAATTTTCTATGGTTTAACCTTTGTTTTACAAGTGGTAAAATCTCTATCAATACTATAAAGATTTTGAGCCTCCAGAAAGTAATGGGTAGAAACCGCTGTGGTGCCGGAAACCACAGCTTCAATGCCGAAGCTCATTGTGCTTGATGAGTTAAATCCTGAAAAAGCATGCACAAGGCAGGAGGAAAATTTCCCATCGATTGAAGAACTCATCTGAGAGATGAGGGACACCGGTCCACGTCCAAGCCCAATCATGCCTGATCCATTTCTGTTAAAGAGGCCTCCATTGTCTTGTCCACAACCAAACATCATTTGTGGGAATGAAACTGGTTGCCCAGCAGTGGAGTTAAATGTGACACTTTCTGTGGCTACAACTCACTTGCTGTAGGATCTGTCCCCGTAAGAAACTGTGTAATTACAAACTCCATCTGTGTCGGGAGGGGAAGAGGTTCCGGTCACGAATTTGCATTGGCTTGAGTTACGAAGAACTTCTGCATACGTTTTCGAATTCTTTGGATCAAAGATTGGCGCTTTCTGCTTGTAATAATGCAGGGCATACATTGCGTCCATGTAAGATCACTACCTGTATCTGCAACGCCTAAGATTTCAAGAGGAGGTGTACCTACTGATATTTTCAGGTTTCAACCCCTTAGAAGAAGACATAAAGAGTTTTTTAACTGAAAAGCTTCTTCGAGAAGCCCTTCACGACAATATGCATTGATTAGTGTATTATATGTCACAATATCTGAAAGCACCCCCTTCTCTTCCATATCTGATAAGAAGAATTTAACGCTATCAATTTAGCGAGCTTTGCATAAGGCATTGACCATTATATTTAGTGTATAAACATTTAACTGAATCCCACTGCTAACAACTTCCCCATATACGACCCATGCCAAATCAATCCACCCGACCTTCACAAGCCCACCAAGAAGACTATTGCAAGCATTTATCGAAACACAAACTCCCTTGCTTCTAAACACCTGAAACGCCTCAAATCCTTCCCTCAACTTCTTAGCCTGCACATAAGTTCTAACAAACAGATCAAAGACCAAAGAACTTAAGCCGCAACTGCTATATGTTGAAACCAAAGAGTCTGCTACTTCAACACGCGAAATGCCACTCTTTCTAACCATTCTAAGAATCAGAGCTTGTGCATCTGACGCTGTTCGACCACGCACCAACATGTGAATCATTGCACTCAAAGACAGTGACGAATGCTTAAAATCAGGACTATTTAACAGAATCAAATCAATAAACTTCAGACCCAGTTGCAAATTTTCACGGCAGCAAGAAAGAACAGCAACAATAAGAGACGGGTTTAACCGAAACAGAAAGCTGCGCAAAGAGGTGAGGTTACCTTGCTTCAGACCTAATAAAATCTTTTCCACCAAAAGAGAATCTGATAAAGAAGCTGATGAAAACAGTTCTTGGCTTGTACTACTACAGGGTTCTTGTGATTGCATACTTTTAAGACCAAGTTCCAGGTCATTTGATGGACAATATGCTAAAGAATGAGGTCTATGAGAGTGGAAGAGTGAGTGTTTGTTGGTTTTGATCAGGTTGTGCGGGTTCTCGGACCCAGTGGCGAAGCCACGTGAGGGCGAGGAGTGGCGGCCGCCACTCCCCTCGCCGGAAATGAAGCCCAGGAGCGAGTACTCGCCCCTCCTCTCGTCGGAAATGAAGCCATGTTTTTTGCTGCAGCTGCACAAACGCTGCGCGTGCAGCGGCGAAGCTGTTAAGGCCCGGGAGGGGTCCGCCCCTCCTCTCACAGGAAAACATGCCCAGAAATCATGGTTTGCTGCCCCATAGCACCTCTGGTTTCGCCGGATTGCAGCTCACAATTGCTACAACTGCGGCAGTTCTTCATGGCTGCGCAGGGAAGGGAAAACTTGAAGAAAAAAAAATTTAATATTAAAATAAGTGAAACGGTGTGTTTGGGCATTTGGGCTTAATTTGAAAAACAAATATTAAAATATGATGGGAGGACCACTTGTCCCCATTACCTCTCGGCTTCCTCCCCCAAAGTTTTCCTTTTTTTATGCATATATGTATAATGGACCTGTTGGGCAATGCCATTGGAATGGCTAAAGAGCACTTCTAGTTACATCTGCCATAAAAATTTACATCTTTCTAAGTTCTCGAAGTGCTTTTTGTCAGATTATTCTTCAGGAAGTCGTTCACGTAGAAGCATTTAGATATTGAATAAACTAATGAATGCACTTTTAGGCTTTTAGCGTAAACACACTTATAAATGAGCATAACTACTTTTTACATAGTTCAATCACCAACAAGTCGTATATCGCTAGACTTATGTTGACAAATTAAATCCAAATCAAACGTTTAAAAAAGAATCAACTTAATCAATGATCTAAATTTAAATTATGACAACACATTTTTTTGTGGTTTGTTAACCCATTTCTCTCTTCTCTTTTCTTTTTTTTTATTTATTATTCTTGTATGTATTTTTCCCTCTTTTTAAAACCCCAGCGTATTTATCTTAAACTCTCACATTATCTATAAATGTTGTATTAATTTTTTAAAAATAATGTAAATATCGTGTAATACTTATTTTACAATAAAAGACATTTAAATCCATCTAGGCTCCTACCTGAATCTCGCCTAGGCGCCTAATTGGTAGGCCCCAGTCCGCTGCCTGACTAGCGCCTAATGTTTTTTATAATCTAATTCTTACCAATTTAAGCTTCTTACATGGCTTTGATCTTACCGTTTACAACCGATTTGATGGATAGACTGTTTTATGTTATGAATATTGATTCAAAACTTTGCCCTCTCCAATGTGAAGGCAACCGTTTCGATTGAACCTTACACTCTTTTGAATTTCGCCCCTCCCCTCGGCAAATCCTGGCTTCGCCACTGCTCGGACCTACATTTCTCAAAATTAGTCAATGGGTTCGCATGTTTGAAACTATAGTTACAGCCATTGAGGAATGAATTCAGAATTCAAAAAGATGTGGGATGCTTCGGGGCTGAAAGGGCCTGTCTACTGATTTAAAGTTCATTCCAGTTTGGCTTGGTTAGGTCCCAAACCAAGAACCAGTACCAAACAGTTGGTAGGCCATAGAGTTGAACCGGAAACTGAGAACCGAAAACTTGGACCTGCAATAGACTGACCGTATACTGAAATTTTAAGTGTGGTCTGGTCTCATTGAATTATATCCTCATTTGTAGCAGGTTGATCCTGAAAAAAGCAAATAGCATTCATCAACATTAAAAAACAGAGGAAAATGAGAATAGCAGTTCAACAGACATTGGATTGCAACGAGAATCTCCCAAAATGGGCAGAACGATTCGAACAGACGATTAATTCATTACAAAAATGATCATCCAGATTAAAAAACGTTGTAGGTACTATTATTTAATCCAAATTTCCATGCTTGTTCCTAAATTCTAAGATATTTTATCAAAAATTACACTAACGGCACATAGTTAGTTGCAAGATATTTCAGCCAAATCTTGTTCCTGAGATTTTAAGAATCACGGAAAGTAGAAGAAAAAAAATTATGAAATCTGAAGTTTACCTCAGTGATCGGGCGGACCAACACCAACGGCGGCGATAGGAAGTGAGAGCAGCGAACGATGGGCTATCAGGGAGTGGATGACGACTCCAAGAGTTCGAGCTTCAATAGAAACCTTCAATGGAAGAAGAGCAGGATGAGTTCAGATGAGAGGTTGAGAGGAACAGGAGGATTCTGGTGGCTGTAAATGGCGGATTCTGGTAGTTGTAACGTTGAGAGAGAGAGAGGCAGTAGGCGGGAGAGGATTCAGAGAGAGAAAGCGGTCCACGTAGAAGGTTTAGTAGTCAGTTATCCAAACATGTGTTATGGCCATGGATTTAAATATCGAAAATATCGGCGAAATATTACCGATATTTTCGTTTTTTTCGGTTACCGATATTTTAATTAGTATCCAATGAGTTTTCGTCAAAATATCGTGATATTATCGATATTATTGATATTATTGATAATATCGCGATATTTTAGCGATATGACATCCAAAAATTCTTAAAATTCTAAAAAATCTCAATTTTGAAACTAAAGGGATTCGAACCCCCTCCCATTTGACTCTTAACGCCTTAACCACCATATCACTTATGGTTGTTGTGATAATATGCTACTATATTTATATATATTGTTTTGTTTTGAATTCTTTTTACAAGAAACAAATTTGCACATATTCCAAATTTTTTGTGGTATTATATTTTAAATTGTGTCAATTAATTACTTAGTTAATGGCATGTGGTTTTTAATTTTTCTATTTTTTATTTGGTCACTTACATGGTACGGCTGGAAAAAATTCCCGAAAATCCCAAACCAAACCGAAAAATCCCCCAAACCCAAACCGAAAAATCCCAAACCAAAACCATCCTGAAGTTCGGGAATCCCATCCCGAAAAATACCGAAATTTTCGATATGGGATTGGTTTCCAAATCCCATTTGTTTGGTAATCCCGAAAAATACCGAAGTATTCGGTTTCCTATTGACTTTTGGGTTTTGGTTCTTGAAAACCATTGTCATGGTTGCTGACTACTCTTCACAATACACTTACTCTACAAATAGAGATGATGAAGATAGTGAAAATTTTGAACCTCATAGGAACTCTATGTTGTACTAAGTCACTCATGTATCTTACCATGCAATGTATAAAGTGTAAAATATTGTACTAATTCATTATATATAAATAATTATGGTGTGTTTAAACTTCTTTAATTAATTACTACATATTTTCTACATTCACAATGTTTGCCAGTTCGCTATATAATCAACTTAAATCAGTTAAATCCATCATGCAATGCATTTCCTTCCAATTTTTTTGTGATAAACTAATAGATAATTGACTAAATAAACATCCTGCAAAGTTTCAATAAAAATTTCCAAGTTTTTCTTACAATTTCCGTGGTTTCCATGTAATTTTTATCGATATCGATATTATCCCGATATTTCCGTGTTTTCAGACTACCGATATTTCCGATATTACCGATATTTTCTTCCTTGGTTATGGCAAAACCCCGTACAGAATGATCTCTCTGTCCTAATCTCTCTCTCCTCTCCTCTACTAACGGTTACGTTAAGTAATGTCAACATCTTATATTGATTTTTTAAAAGAAATAATAAGATAAAAATAATGTCTGAAATTAGAAGAGGAAAGAGAATGAGAATAGGAGGGCAGGAAATCTTACTCTTAGAATTATAGTCATGCTCAACCATCTCCCACCAAACCGAACTGTTAATAACTATTAATTTAAAGTTTATACTTTAATTTTATTAGTTAGTATAATTAAATTAGGGGTGTGTGGAATTCTTACTCTTAGAATTATAGCCATGCTCAACCATCTCCCACCAAACCGAACCGTTAATAACTATTAATTTAAAGTTTATACTTTAAATTTATTAGTTAGTATAATTAAATTAGGGGTGTGATATCCACATACCCATTTTTACTTCTCCCACACTTTTTTGGTTTTCAGCCGTCAGATCGAATGAATTGAAGAAGATCAACGGACATAAATTAATAAGAGGTGTGTGAGAAGTAAAAAAGGGTGTGTGGATAGCATACCTCTTAAATTATCGTTGGATGATTTCAAATCTAATTGTTGAAATTGAATCAATGATTACAACTGAAGAGATGGCCCTCCAAAAAGGACTAGGAGGGGGCTACGTATGGCAAGCTTGATGCTTCTTTGACCAAAAAATAGCTTAGTAGGTTCCATAGAGTTATAGCCTAGTCATCTGTTGGAGATGAGTTTTTAGGCAATTCAAGTCTTTCTTGGTTTTTTAAACCTTTAGCATTCTCCATTGGAAATAGCCTTAAAAACGAACACAGGGTAACTTAAACCTACAGATAAAGGTTAACTGGTAACATATGGGCAGATGTGCAATCCTAAGCTATCAGCTGAAACTTTTGGTATTAAGCTATCAACTTAAATATTTTTTTTACAAGGAAACAAATACGAATAAGAAGAGAGAAGATAGTTTTACGTCATTCAAATCCCTTTTATCTACAAAACTTAATCGCCTCATCGAATATCTAACCCAGCAAATCCAGTTGTATAAACTTTAATAACTTTACTCATCCAATTTCATCCAATCTTTTTGAAATTTATACCAGGTGGATTCAATTGTACTTCAAAATCTGTATGTATATTTGTCTAACTAGTCAGCAACACCAGTTAACTAAGATCAAATGATTAGATTAACAATAGTGGAAGCAATCAATTTAAACCCTTGAAGAACTGAAGAGATCTCAGCTAACTTAGATCTACTTCAGTACAAATTCAAATGTTGATTATCTTAGTTGCAAGGATAGGTTATGATGATCACATATCATATAGAATTATTGAAGTATAAAGCCAATAAACACAATAATCAACACAAGACGTTTTTTACCAGAAAAACCCACCTCTGGGTTAAAAAACCGGGGGCTTAACATTGAGTCCAATCTACTAGTGCAAACAAAGGTTCATACAAAGACCACACAAGCTCAATTCTAGATCCCTATATACGGAGTAGCTTTACCTTTGTGCAACATTGCCTTACACGAGATGAATTCATATGGTATTCACGAAGTGGCATCTCCTCCTGAGCTCATCACCTTGTGGCACCGATAACCAACACGATCAATGCAAATGATATGATGATGATGGATTTAAACACCAGTCAGATTCTCCAATCAAACATTTAAAGGAATAAACGACTATAATCTCAACTTGATCTAATTGAGAAATCAATACACAAACTAGATCAAGAACACAACACAAACTGAAAAGACTAATGCAACCTAGATGCACAATGATCTTGAGATAAAATGCATAAGAACAGTTTTGTGGCTGGGCAACTAGACGAGAAGGCACAAAGCTCAAACTCAGTTTTTTAAGATAGTGAAATGTTTTAGCCAAAGAGACAAGGAAGGCAGCTAAGGGTTTAACATGGGAGATACCAGATTTTTTTGTCCAAACAAGGACAAAAGACACTTGTCAATGCATAGCTCAATCTAAGCAAATCTAAGGCTGAGATTTCAACCTAGAGCAAAGATTTCAGAAAGCCCATGTGGGCTGACTTAAAAAGCTTGTCCAGACAACTGGACATCAGTGACTTTTTGACTGGACAACAAAACTAGATAGAAGGAACTCAGGTTAATGCATGGAATGTATATGAATGATCAAACCTTTTGTGAAGATAAATTGTCTTCGATCAAAGTCTTCAGATATAATATACAGCAAGATGAACTCGTACTAGAGTTGTAAAAAACATAGACAATCTAAGAGCGTGTAAGGTAGTATTTACAACTTTTGACAAGGAAAACCAAATAGCTTAAAACTAGACTTCACACTTTTCTCAATGATATTCAAACACCGTTAGTTACAAAGCACCAAAATATTTGAGATTATGTGGTTTTGAAAATTGGGATATTTGAAACATGTCTCTCTCTATTTTTCATATACGAAAAGGAAAAAAAAATATAGAGGAGAAAAGGGGTGTGAATGATTGAGAGAGATGAAGAGACGAATGGGATGAGGAGGAGAGAGACGAAAGATTTCACGCGGGAATTTTTTTAATTTAATCTCTTTGCATAATTATTGTGTTTCGATGTAACAAAGATTGTTTAAGTTGATAGCTTAATCTACCATAATATTATCTGAGAGCTCAAATACAAAAGAACCTCATTGGTCCTCAAAATGAGGACCTAGCAATTCTGAACATATGGGTATTTTGTTATCTTGTGATGTGAAATCTCAAACCACTTAAGACATGTTTTACATATCTGGAATCAGAATATAAATGAATGGAAAGATGAATTTTCATTTTTTTTTATACAACGATATATTTACATACGAGGATGAGGGTATGAACATGGAAACTCCTGAAATTCAATGAAAGAAGAATTACACAAGTGAACAGGGTTACAATCTATGGGATACATTCTTTACAAGAATTAATCATCTAATGTGATATGCAAAAGTGTCAAAAAAGACCAAAATATGTTGCCTGATCCAGGGCCGTAGAACCTTAATATTGTTTGAACGGATGTCACAATTTTTGTAGTGGTATGTGTGTTTGATTTTATTGGTAAGGAATTGGCTCATATGAGTTATGGTAGATAATTCTCACAAGTATGATGAAGAATTTAGGAAAATCTTTCTAAATTTGGGGTGTGGCTGGAGGAATTTGAAGAAACTGAATTTTGGAGATTGCACTGTATTTGGTATCAACTCTTGTTTTCATTGGGGAATATTTCTCTAACTCAATAAGTTGAAATTTCTTATTGAGTTTCTTTTTCTCTAGCCTATTGTGAATTTGAACCACATTCACTAGCCTATTGTGAGGCTTAACCTACTTCCCCACCTCTTAATGTAGATAATATGTTTGTTAAAAATTATATATAAAAAAATTCTTACTTAACCAAACGTGGAACACTACTCCGATCTAAGCTAGTCCGAATTTAAAGAAGGGGCTATTTCCAATGAAGATGGCTATAGTTTAACATTTTTCTTTACAAAACTCAACTCCAATCTGGGCAAAAACCAAATGGATCTCACCAAGCCAAATTAGCGCAATTTGACCATCGGGTTGGGCATATTGAGTCCACCTGGCAGCCCATTTGTTGGGTTTTATTTATTTATTTATAAGGATGAAATATAAAAAAGAAAAAATTTAAAAATCTTTTTTTTTTTTTTGTTTTTTTGTAAATATCTAAGTCATTTATACATCATTTTCATCATTTTATACTATCTTACCTTATTTTAATCCAATTCTTCACATTCTATTCATATCAAACACTCTTTTTATACACTCTTCTCTTACCTCT